CCCCGCTCCTCCCGGCCCCCCAGCCCTGCTCCTCCCGGCCCCCTGACCCCCGTTCCGCTCCTCCTGGCCAGACGTTCAGAGAACGGCGCTGCAACACCCGGGCTGAGCTGCTGGCCGCGGGCTGCCGGCTGGACAGCTTGGTGGTCATGGAGAGCAGCTTCGAGATCACAGAGGTGCCCGGAGCGGGTGGGGGCGGGGTGAGGGAGGGCCCCCTGCGGGCCCCTCCAGCGTGCTGACCCCTCCTGTGGACACAGGACACCCCCATCAACACCGAGCTGCCACGCAGCCAGGTGTACCCCCAGGGGCTGCGGGTCCGCCTGCGTCCCGGCGAGGAGCGCCACTTCGAGCTGGAAGTGTTCGAGCCCACGGAGAGCCCCGTGGACCTGTACATCCTCATGGACTTCTCCAACTCCATGTCTGACGATCTGGACAACCTCAAGCAGATGGGACAGGACCTGGGTACGGTGGGACCTGGCCACCACGGGCAGGCGCACAGCGCCGGCCGCAGCTGGCCGACAGGCTCCGGAGGCAGGCTGAGGACTGCGCCCGCCCCCCAAGGACGGGGGTCCCCGCCTCCCCAGGAATGCCTCCCTCACCCCCACTCCTTTCCTGGCAGGGACAAGCTCCCAGTCAGACCCCAGCCGCCTCTGGGGGCTTGTCCAGGCTCTGGCCGGGAGGCGCGCTGTGACGGCCACCCCAGCCTCTCGGCCGCTCCCCTCCGACTCGCTTCCGGGGCCCCCCCAGACTCGCGCGAGCAGGAGCCGGTGTTCGCGAGCAGAGTGGCGCCCTCGGTTGCTGGTCTCCCCCTCCCCGTCCCGAGCGGCCGGGCCCCGTGCTGTTTGGGGGTTGCGCTCAGATTGTCCTGTTGATGCCCAGCCCAGGTCTTGAGCAAGCTCACCAAAGACTTCACTATTGGATTTGGCAAGTTTGTGGACAAGGTCAGCGTCCCTCAGACGGACATGAGGCCCGAGAAGTGAGTGGCCGAGGGGGCAGGGGTTCGGTCAGGGGACCCCAGGCCTTAGACGTCTCATTAAGTGGGTTCTGAACGATTGGCCGTAAGTTCTTCGCCACAAACCTTGTCAGCACATAACTAATTGGCCATAGGTCATTTTTCCGTCAAAGAGGCACAATCAAAAAACTAAGACGGACGTTAGTCAGAAGGGAAGGACGAAACCTGAAAAATTAATACCCAAATTAAAAAGATGTTTTTCGGTGAATTTTTTTCCTTTATGAAAAGAAGGATCCGTTTCCAAATACCAGGCTGCATTTTTTTAAAGATTTATTTTATTTATTTATGCACACAAAAGCTGGGGCGTAGGCCAGAGTTGCAGGGGGTGAGAGGATTCCCCAGGATTCCCCAGAGACAGAGTGGGGAGCAGAACAGGTGGACTGACTGAGACCCACTGCTGAGGGGAGCAGGGGGGAGACGGGGAGGCCTGCTGCCCCCTGTGGTCACTCCCTGGCCGGGGATCACACTCGAGCTGCAGCGCTGAGCCTTAACCCCCTGCACCACCAGGGCGGCCCCAGGCTGCGTTTTGTAACTGAGTCTGGTGCTGCTGTGCAAACCTGCACAGGTGGCTGTCCTGGCGTGTCACCGCACGTCAGGGGCCAGAGACCGGTCGTCCGTTCTGTGAGTGAACATAAAATGGAAAACCAAAAGTAATACATCACAAAATCCTGTGGGAAATGTGGACTCCCCCTGCCCCCAGCCTCGGCCTCGCTCACCTCCCAGGGAGTATGTTTCAGAGAAAACCAACTCGTGGATAGTCACTGTGGCGCCAGCTCAGCGCCGATAGCACCGCGGCTGGACGAGCAGCCCCCTGGGGGCGTCTCGTGTGTGGGGTCTCGGCGCCTGTGTGTCACTCTGGCACTCGAGGGCAGGCCGTGGTTGAGTCCGCCGAACAGCTGGTGTTCCCCACGATGGCTGGGCCACGAGCCACCCTCATATCCCGACGGCCGTCAGCCTGGCCGGACGGTGGGCGGGGTGGGCTGGCGAGGGCTCGCACTCGAGCAGGTGGCCCTCTGCAGGGGACCGTCTGGCTCTCGCACTCCTGCTTCACGCCTCCAGCAAGCTTTTTTTTTTCTATCAAGTGGAGAGTTGCTATCACCCTCTACTTTTTTTAATAATAAGTTTATTTTTCCATCATTTTGTGCCTTTCTCCATCTCAGTTGTCATCCCCGTGGGCTTCCCGTCACCAGATCATCCGTGTGCCATCACCATAGTCCGTGCACCCCCCCCATTTTTGACCCTGTTTCCCACTCTGCACCCATAAAATTTTCTGGTATATGGTTGTTCATTATTTTATCCCCCCTGGTCCTTTATGCTCCTGTGATGAGTGAGCATATTTTTCTTTTTCTTTCTGGCTTACCTCACTGAGCATGATCCCTTCCAGTTCCATCCGTGTTGCTGCAAAAGGCATGAGCTTATCATTTTTGATTGCTGAGTAATATTCCATTGTGTCTATGGACCACATCTTTTAATCCAGTCATCCACTTTTGGGTATTTGGGTTGATTCCATGTCTTTCCTACTGTAAATAAAGATCGCCCTCTATTTCAAGGTCGCCCCTTCTGCTCATCACCGTGTAGATCAAAGGGTCCAACCAAAGTGCCCACCAGCCAGTTTATCTTTTTTATGGCAAAATCGCCCCATACGGTAAAAGTGTTTGTGGCAAAGAACTTACTGTGAATCAACCGGATACAGCTGAAACGAGCGGGTGCTCCCTGGGGAGGGCCCTGGCCGCACCCTCGAGAGACTGTGCAGTCTCGTCCCCTGACTCTCCTGTCCCCGCTCCGTCCAGGCTGAAGGAGCCGTGGCCTCACAGCGATGCTCCCTTCTCCTTCAAGAACGTCATCAGCCTGACGCACGACTTGAACGAGTTTCGGAGCAAACTGCAGGGAGAGAGGATCTCAGGCAACCTGGACGCGCCCGAAGGCGGGTTCGACGCCATCCTGCAGACGGCCGTGTGCACGGTGAGCGCCCGGGAGGGGCCCCCAGGGCTGGGGCCACTCCGCCCGTGCCCACTGGCCTGCTCTGGCGCGAGGCTCAGCGGGGCCCGAGGCCTGCGAAGACTCAGACCCTCCACGGCGGTCGGACTTAGGTGCGGGGAGCAGGGGCGCCTGGCCGGAGCCTCCTGCCTTTGCTTTGGCCGGCGAGGCGGACCCGAGCCTGGAGGTTCTGGAATCTTCAGGGCCTCACACCCAGCCTGCCAGGGCCACAGGCCGCCCGAGCAGGCAACGCCTTATGCGCACGGCCCTCTCCTCTGGAGCACAGCACCTCCACCTGCACCGTGGAACACGAAAAGCAGAAGCGGACGCAGCTCGCCCCCACCGGCGGCCGGACACGCGGCGCCCACGAGCCGGCTCCGTGCGGCCGCCCTTACTACAGAGAGCTGGGATGTGTGGCGTGTACCTCTGAGACCGGCTTTTCCTTTTGCCGAACCCCATTATAAGCTTCATGGGTTGCAACACGTTGTCGTCAAAGTTCCCCATCTTTTTCCAACAATGTCTGCGCACGGCGACAGCTCGTCCAGTCCATCTTTTTCTTCAACAGGCATCAGAATGTTCAAACTTTCTCCCGGTGCCGTTAAGCGCAGGGGGGGACGAGCCAGGGGTGGGCAGCCTGGCTCCACCTTGCGGGCACCCAGGCCCGCACCACCCCGCATCACTGCCCACCCCCGTCTCTGTCTCTGAGTGGCCCTCGCCAGCGTGGCCGTGACGGCGGCATCGGCGGCCCTGCGACTCGGGGCG